TATTTATTTGTTAACTGTCAATGTGCTATCTCCTAAATATGAGCAGTGAAACAAGATCACACAATTTCTATTGTTGCACGATTTTTTTAACACAAAAAAAAAAAAAAGATCTCAAACTAAAATAAATTGATAATGATTTAGAGCGCAAGTAATTCTTTAAAATTTTAACTTTAAAGTTATAATTATTTGACTACATTCAAATTAATATAAAATCAATCAACAATTTCCCAAATAGCTATATGAGATTTTTTTCTATATAAATTTTTTTATAAATTCTATTTATAATTCTCTATAAATTCTTTTTAAAAATTCAATGCTATTTTGATTGTGCAAAATAATAAATTTTTTTGAATTATATATATATATAAATATATATATATATATATATATATATATATATATATATATATATATATATATATATATATATATATATATATATATATATATATATATATATATACACATATATATGTTTTTATGATTGTTTTCCTTTGCTGATCATTTGATAATAAAAAAATTGTTATTTACTAGTATTATTATCTAAACGAACCAGGTTCAACTCATTATGATTTTTTAAAAAATAGACATTTCCATATCTTGACATTTTGTAAAACTCTATTATAAACTATATGTCAAAATGTTTGAGCAGTTGGTCTTAGCAATTAGATTTTAGCATATTTGCTTTTAGAGCATGTGGTACCCCCTAGGGAGAACCAGTTGTGTTTCTATAAATAAGTGCTGCTAGCATATTATTAGTACTTTTAATAAATAATTTACTATAATGCTTTTATTTTTTTAAAACACCTGCTCAATATATTTTTATTTAATATAAATTTTTAGTTATTTTCTTACATAACTTAAACATGACATCTTAATCCAACAATTGTAGTTAAAAAAACAATTTATAGCTTTATATTAATATTGCAACTTATATTAATAACATATTTCTGACATTATTATTATTGTGTTTATAAATAACAATAAATAACCATATTATTATGTTTTAATGAACAGACATGTCTTAGCTCGATCACTTAGTCTTGAAACATTTATATCTGAGAAATGAAAATTCTTTTTGTTTTTCAGAAATATATATTTAATGGTGAAATATATATAGCTAATAATATATAATTTTAGTTGACCCAAAGCTACATTATGATCTAACTTATTACATTAATAGTTATAAAGAAAAAAATTAAAACAATCAAAAAGATTATACCATTTCCCCAACCAGTCATCGGATCAAATAGTGCTTTTAAGTAAAAAGAAGAGGAACTGATTTTTATTTCACAATCAATATTGTAACCCCATATAGATATAATTCCTTTGAACATAAAACCAGGGGGTATAGTAACATCTAATTTCTCGATAGTCTTTTCTAGAAATTCCAAAGAAAATGTAAAAATAAAATAAATTAAAAATGTTAAACATATAAAACATAAATACAACATCAAACAAATTATATTAATTTCGAATATTAAACTTAATAAACAAAATTATAACTAATCAGTTACAAATAATTAAAAAACAACAACAACATGAAGTTATTATTTAATTAATGAAAACTCACCTGCAGTACCAAAATTTACAGAAAATCTTAATTCACCAATGAAACCACTGGCAGCAACATTTTCTGGTAATTCTTTGTTAATTTCAAATATTCTGTAAATGTTTCCAATAGTCAAATCTGCACCACTGCTAATAAAGTAAATATAGGAATCTGTGGGGTTAGATGCACTTAACCCAAAATAACCTTGGAATTCAAATCTGTCACTTTTTTCATCTTCACCAAGTTTACCAAACCAAATTTGGGCGCCCATTTCTAAAATTTAGAAATGCACTATTGTTATCATCATTATAAAAATGATATAATTTATATGAACCATAAATTTAAAAAACCCATTGTTTATAATTTATGTGTGATAAAAAGAAATATAACTTTAATATAATTTCATTTATATACATATAAATTATAGAAATTTGTCATATCAACATAAAAACTAAGACTTAAAAAAAAAGAAAACAATGTGTCGATTTAAGATTTTTTTAGTTTGAAAAAGTTTTCAAACTTTTTTAAACTAAAAACTTCTCAGACTTTCTTCTTAAAAAAATGCATTTTATGCTCGAGTATTTTGTATATTTATCAGTAACTTGCCTTAAAGCTGTCTAAAAAAAAAAAAAAAAAAGACAAAAATCTCTCTAGCTAACACATATATAAGCAAGCAAAAGTTATTGAACAGTAAGTTTACTTTTTATTTTTATTTCACCTTGCTTCTTTTAAAAAGTATTCAGGTGTTTTTTGGCTGTTCGTAACAGTTTGTATCTAACCACATTTTAGTTTTAGCAACTAATATGAATTGAATGTTGCGTGGCTAGTAAGAAAACCATACAAATTGGCATTTTTAGGCAGTCACATAAGAAAATAAAACTGTTTCTTCCTTTTAAAACTGCTTTGATCCAACAATTAAAAAATTGTAATAACCCAACATTTAATGAATATGCAGGAAAAAATAAAAACTGACATCAAAAGAAAAATTTTTTTAATTAAAAGTTCAAAAAAAAGTTGGGACAAAGGGAATGAGAAGAAGTAAAAAACTCAAAAGAAATAAAAAATGATAAAAGTTACATAAAGTGAAAGTTCATTTTTAATGCTATATTTTAAACCCAGATGAAAATAAAACAATATAAAGATGAAAATAAAATAAAACAACTTCGAAAATAAAATAATATAAAGATAAAGTTGAAATCAATAGAATATAAGACTTTTAGTAAAAAAAGAAACAATTTAAATGATCGACACAGCAGGAAATTAACACCTATTAAGTATCAAGTATCCTATCAAGTATCCTCTTTGTAACAAAGTTCTCTAAAATAAAATGTTTTGTTCAAAAATAAAATCACTTATCTATTCAAAACATAAATAAATAAAATCAACAATGAACCTTTTGTTACAAAACATTATAAATCCATAATAATGCGTAAAACAACTTCAAAAGTAATGTTAGTAATAACAATAAACAATGAATTATTTATAATAATAATAATAATAGCAATAATAATAATAGTTATAACAACAATAACAATAAATTAATTTTATTGTTTATATGTCATGTATTTATGTATATAAATAATGTTAAGTGTATTTACTTTTTGGCATTTTTCTCTGTTGAATTATTTGTTGTTGCTTTTTCTATATCTTGCTTTTTACTTTTCTTTAATTAATATATGTAACATATAATATAGGGTTTAATATTGTATGTAGTAGTGTATATTTTTTATTTATTTAAGTTTGCCTTTATTTTTATTTTTTATATTTGTCTACAGAAATTTTTTTCTCTCACTCTCCTTTTGAACTCTAAATTTGTGTTTTCTCTTACATTTTTTTCTCACTCCTCTTATCTCATCTATTCATTCTCTTATCTCATCTATTCATTCTCTTATCTTATCTATTCATTCTCTTATCTTGTCTATTCATTCTCTTATCTCATCTATTCATTCTCTTATCTTATCTATTCATTCTCTTATCTCATCTATTCATTCTCTTATCTTATCTATTCATTCTCTTATCTTATCTATTCATTCTCTTATCTTATCTATTCATTCTCTTATCTCATCTATTCATTCTCTTATCTTATCTGTTCATTCTCTTATCTCATCTATTCATTCTCTTATCTTATCTATTCATTCTCTTATCTCATCTATTTATTCTCTTATCTCATCTATTCATTCTCTTATCTCATCTATTCATTCTCTTATCTTATCTATTCATTCTCTTATCTTATCTATTCATTCTCTTATCTCATCTATTTATTCTCTTATCTTATCTATTCATTCTCTCTTTTTTTATTAGTCTTTTTCCTTTAATTTTTTTTTTTTTTTTTTGATTCCAATGTTTTTAATATTATTGTTCCTATTACTTTTTTTTTATTACTTGTATTAATGTAATTTACTTTCTTTATTATTTCTTTATTTTATTAAGGTGTCACTCCATTGACTAGTTTTTAACTATATAAGTGACACTGAACCTAATTTTGTAAATAATTAAATTTGTAATTTTGAATTTTTGTAATAATAATATTAATAATAAAACAAGCAATAAATAAATACCAATGGTTGGAAGAAGAGTCTTCAAATCGAGACCAAATGCAAAATAAACATTCCCAAAAGCAAGCCTCTGCACATTAAATGGTTCTTTAATCATGCCTCTCATAGAACCACCAACACTTAATTTTCCAGAAAGTTCAATTTTAATATAACCTGAATAAAATAAAATATTAGAATAATAACGCAAATAAATATAAATATGTTAAAAATGTCTATAAAAAATTTAAAACTTAAAAAGATTTAAAAATACTGTCACTTCATTATGTAAAGATATGCAAAAAGCAAAGAATGCAACTTTGCTGTAACCACTAAAGTATATTATGCATCTAAGTGTCATACTATTCATAGTATATAAATAAGAAGTCTAAATCTAAACCTAATAAACACCCAAAATCTAACTTTTGGAGGAGCTGAAAAAGCAAGAAGGAGGAGTGGTATAAAAACAGAATTTATTAATTAATTGTATAACTAATTATTTCAATTTTGTGTCAATTAATTAAATTAATATTGCATTAATCAATCAGCAATGAACAAATGATTTCAATGAGATTTTATACAAGGGAAAAAATCTGAGTGCATGCCATATTTTGAATTTGAATCTAAATCAAATTTTAAATTAACAAATAGCATAACATTTTCAACAAATGAAGTGCAGTCCTGCTTGTCAAAACTTCATTCATTTAAACTTTTTTTTTTTAATTTGTGACTGGGGTTTTTCCATATATTTGTGTCTCTAAATTTGAAGTAGAAGAGACACAAATATATGAAAAATGCTCATTGTCACCACAGTTTTTTTATGGTTTGACCTCATACAAAAATTTAAAATTGGCTTATTAAAAAAAATGCATGGAAATTTTTTTTTTAAATACTTCAACAACTGTTTCTTGTTTAGAACTGTTTGCTCTTTAAATTTGAAATTTAATTTCAAAAAACTAAAATCCATAGCCTTTCTCAGTTTTATAGTAAAGCGAACAAATCCTATTTGTAATGACCACAAACTTTCCTTGAGGCATCTGTAACCCATTTTACTTTTCTTTCTGCAGCTTGTGAGTGGCATAGAAATTTTGTAAAAGTACAGCCATTTGGTAACGGTTCTTTCAGCAATCTTTTCAAATCTTCTCTGGTCACGTTATTTAGTATTGGTGTTGGAGCTAACTTGCTCGAGGACCAGTCTAAGAAGTCAATGAAGCCATTTATCTTGAAGTTTACTTTTGGAATATAGAACTTTCTATTCCTGACCTTTTCGACCAGCTGAGTTGATTCTTGTGCTTTTGTGACTATTCAAATTCCGAAGGCTTTAATATCTTTTCAGTTTTTTATCTTATCAGCATTGTGAGAAGAATGTTTTCTGGAGATGCAAAGTATGCATTTTTATCATAAATAATTTCAGCACTAGCTATATTTTTTTCTGAGGTCGGTGTAACATGACCAACATAGCTGGATGCTGGTTCTTTCACAATAGAATAGTGTTACTATAAAAATGGTTTTTGTTGAAAATGTTTTGTCATATCAACCATCAAAGTAAAGACCTGTTAAACAACCATTATCAATGTTTGAACTCTCACTTTTAAGCTTTTCCATGGTTCAAAACCTTTCTGTAGCATTTTTTTTCTTATCAATCACTAAAGATGTATCTGATTTAGTGTTTTGGCCTACATTGTGCGAAATGCTAGAAGTTATGGCAGCCATGGCTCGAAGCAATGCCATTTTGATATTATTTCAAGCCACATACAGCCAACAATATCGATAAGCCAAAGAATTATTTAAGCCAATAATTCTTTTTTCAATAACTCATATCAAGGTAATATTTGTAAGTTTCCTTCGCATTTGCAAGCAAGATAAAGTTGACAGTTTGGGTTTATATTGTTGGGTTCATATTTCACATCCTCAGTCTCATCACATGATCGCCTCATCACATGATCAGTTTGGGTTTATATTGTTGGGTTCATATTTCACATCCTCAGTCTCATCACATGATCGCCTCATCACATGATCGCCTTATCACATGATTGCCTCATCACATGATTGCCTCATCACATGATTGCCTCATCAAATGATCGCCTCATCACACGATTGCCACATCACATGATCATCTTATCATATTAGATATTTTGTTCTCTGATTAGCAAGAAATGCCTGTTCCTTAGAGAGAACTTTGGAATCCCTTTTCAATTGCAAAGGCAATTGAAGTCTGTAAATGTAAAGCACTTACAAGTTGTTATATCATAAAGAAAGCAAGATTCTTTAAACTTCTTTAAACTTCTCTGCATGAGAAGAGTGGCAAATAAAACATGACTTTAGTTGCCACTCTTTTCTCTATTATTTCATAAACAGAATTGATATCCATCAAGTTCTTTTGATATGCATCAAGAACACGTTTCTTTGAAAGTTTTTAAAAGACTGTTAGTATTTGGTGACATACCCATTTAACTTTAAAACAGCATCTCAGCAACAAGGGGTCAAATCAACTAAATTAATAAGAACGCCCTGAGAAATTTTGTGCTAACATTTTTGAATCAATGCAAAAATATGGTCTTTGTTTTTTTATTTTCTATCGACTAATTGTTGGTCAATGTACTCCCAATGATACTCAATAGTATTCAAATCTGAGCTCTGTGAAGGCAACTTTGATTTTTTTTCAACAACTTCGATTTTTTGTGATTTAAAATAATCCTTAACAGATCTGATACAATCATATAGATCATTATCTTGTTGTAAGATCCATTAGCTAGTTCTTTTATACTTTGAATATAGCAGCATTATGTCCTTCAATATGCCTAAATAAACTCTCTAGTCCATAATATTTTCTGTCCAATGAATGGGACCATCATTGTAATAAATAAAACACCCCTAAACCATAACATATCCTCCATGTTTAACAATAGATAATTCTTGACTGGACTTTGGCTATACAAATTATTTTGTCATAATCAATGTTTAGTTGTATCAATACTACAGTTTGTGCCATGAAACTGATGCATAATTGAATTAAGTTCCATTTTTGCAAGGACTCAAAAAATTATACTAAATAAAACTTACTAATAATCTATTATTCTTTTAAGTTATAACTTTAGGTCTCCTAGAGCAAGTCTTGATTTAAATAGTTTTGTGTTAACAAAATCATTTCATGTGACTTATTCCTGGTTTAGAAAAATTGTAAAGTTCAGAAATCTTTTCTTAAAAAGGTTGACAAGATTTTTCTTTATTTTTTCCCATTCTGGTCCACTGTATTGTAAATTTTTTAGATTTTTAGATTCACAGAAAACCATGTGACCACTTACTGTACATTAACGTTAATTCTAACCACCCGCAACAAAATCAAAATCAAGATCACAAAATATTTTACGGTTTAACCCTTCTTTTGCGCTTAATGTAAGAACAAATGTTGCAAAAATTTTCTTAAATTTAGTTAAAAAACACTTTCCAAAATCTCATAAAATTTATAAACTCTTCAACAAAAACAACCTAAGTGCTAGTTATAGCTGTTTTTCTAACATCAAAAATAATATTACAACACCTCAACCAACCAACAATGCAACTATCGACAAGCTTCACAATGTCCTTTGTCTAATTGAAAAGTATCACATAATAACATAAAAAATGAAATTATTAAACAAAAGAAATGAAAATATAATAAATAAAATGTCACCATGAAAACAAATTTGTTATAAACAATTTAAACGTCATCAAAGCGGACACTGCATAGCATTTTTCTAATTAATTTTTTTTGTCGTTAAGACTATTTGTAATATCTGATGATCGCCATAGGCGTGAAACTCCGAGTTATGTTTCTTTAACTACCAGGTGTTATTATTTAATTTTTAAAGAATATATGTATGTATATATATATATATATATATATATATATATATATATATATATATATATATATATATACATACATACATACATACATACATACATACATATATATATATATACATATATATATATATATATATATATATATATATATATATATATATATATATATATATATATATATATATATATATATATATATATATATATATATAAATATATATATATATGTATGAATATATATAAATATACATATATATATATATATATATATATATATATATATATATATATATATATATATATATATATATATATATATATATATATATATATATAAATATATATATATATATATATACATACATATACACTCTCTCCCTTCTCTCTCGCCCAAACTCCCCTAAAACAGTTTACGGGAGCAATTTACGGCTCTCGCAAAAGTATAATTTTTCTTACGAAAGTATAACTATTGTTGTAACTAAAATAAAAAACACTATTTGTCATTAAAAAAAATTAAATGCATAATATACTGCATTTCTTTTTAAAAAGTACGGATGCTGAAAAAAAAAAAAAAAAATCAAAATTAAAAAAGAGTGCCGATTTAAATGAGCAGCTCGCACAACTCCCTGAGTTTGTTTTAAGAGAGCTTTTCTCCGCTTTCGAGCTCATTTATTCCCGCCAAGGCCTGCATATATATACATAAAAACGCATTAACTTAATTGAGGAAACTAATTACATTCATCATTTAAAAAAACAAAAAAAATGCAAATTAAAAGGCTAGAATGTTTTTAAAAACATACACAAAGTTTTATTTGAAAAAAAAAAACAATAAAAAAAACATTCTGAATGTTTTTATTTTTACTTTTTTACTGTAGAACATGTGCAAAGCGTTGCTACATTGACTATCTTATAGTCTGCTGTTACATGGGAGTACTGCTACATTGACTATCTTATACCCTACTGCTACATCGATTGAGAATTTCGACAAGCAGTCTATCAATTATTAAAAAATTTTTGAAAAGTTTTTAAACTTTAAACGGTCTTTAAAATAAAATTAAAAAACAACAAACATAAAATGGACATTTTATGAGAAAAATCAATATATATATATATATATATATATATATATATATATATATATATATATATATATATATATATATATATATATATATATATATATATATATATATATATATATATATATATCTTTAGTGTTGACATTGTGTATAAGAGTATATGTTATATTTGTCAGAAAACATCAATTAATACGAATTCTCTTAATACAATTATTAATTTATTATTAGAAATTTTTGCTGGATTATGGTTACCAGCATCATCAGCACGTAAAAATTAATTAATTAATTTTTACGAGCTGATGATACTAATATATCTATATATATATCTATATATATAATATATATATATATATATATATATATATATATATATATATATATATATATATATATATATATAACCCTCGGAATTAGGGTCAGCATTCGACAATGCCGACCTAACTGCCAACCTAAACGTGTTTGCAATCGGCAAAAAAAATTCAGTTTTGCCAACCTCGTTTCGATGCTTTATGATAAGACCTTTGTATTTGCTGACCTCATTTTCTTGAGGTCGGCAAATTATTGCCGACCTCAATTTTCCTTATTCCGAGGGTTGATATATATAATACACTAACATATTTGACCAAATATGTTTTTGTATCAAAAAAAATATGATAAAAAAAAACACAATGTAAAGATTTTACCTGTAAAAACAAGCTCTGGATTTTTCATATGAAATTCAGACTCAATACTAATTGAATTACCGCTGGCTCCAAAATTTAACACCAACATTATATTTTTAAGAGTTAATGTACCACTTAAATCTATACTTCCTTCAATAGATGCTTCAATTCGGAAGTCTGATCTTGCTATAAAAAAAAAAGCGTTATTGTTTCTGTTTTATTTTTGAAAGTCATAAATTTATAGGTAAGTTGATTTTATTTTCGACCATGTAGCCATTACATGAGGGGAGTTAATGGGTTTGCGTACTTACTGAATTCATGCAATATTATACTGTAAATAAATTTTTATCTTATAACTATCATTTTGAAAAAAATAAAAGAAATTAAGTTGATAGTCAATAAGAAATGTATTACTTTTTTTGTGTATGGTCCTTGGAATTGTACTTCATAAATATTTTTATATTTTTTACTTTTTTTTTATTGATTGTAGTTGTGTCCTTAGAATGGTATTATATGTTAAATTGTTAAGTTGGATAATCACATTTTTTCAAATTTTTGTAATAGTAAGAAATTGTAGCCTAAAAAAATCAGTAGTGTTGTTTTAAAATATATCAGTTGTGTATTGAATTATATCATTGGGGTATATTTTACTATATTAAAATAAGTAGGAAAAAATTGAAATAGTCAGGATCAAGGAGGTACTGAGGGTTTTAGTTTGAGCAAGTTGAATAAATTTTTTGATTATTGTTTTTCTTCTTTGAACAAAAAAACTATCTGGATTAAAAATGCTATTTAAAAAAAATAAAGTGAACAAAACTGAGTACATAATCTATTCCACTAAAAATATGACACCAAAATGATTTAATAATTATTTATAGTAGTATAAAACATTTGGCTCACAACTGAGAGGTTCAAGGTTTGAGCTCCCACTATGCCTTTGGAAAAAACAAGCTCAAACTGTTCCACTCCTTGCATAACAAAGTATTTTTTTGGAGTTAAGAGTTAAGAGAAAGTTGTAAATATTTTTTTTTTTAAAAACATTATTTTAATATCAATAATATTGAATAAATTGGATAAATGAGACTTCTTAAGACTATCAAGTCATTAGAGTAAAATTTTTGAACTCCTTAAGTAAAAATCTGTTTCGATTCTAAGTTAGAAAAATTAGGAAAATCTTTTAAAAAAATATCAAGATATATGTTAAGAAAGTAAGATAGTGCAAAATATAGTAGTTAGGTTAACAATAATATGGTGATTTCACAAACTCAGCAACCATGTTGTCGAATTTGCAAAATACAAATAAAATTAGAATAAAATAAAAGAAAAGATAGCTACCGATTACAAACCCTCAGTTGATGTAGTGAAAAAAAACTTTGGGTTGTTGATAGCAAACCTTCAAAACATGCAGTGTGTATAGATTTCGTATGGAATTTTTGCTTTAGTTGGAATTGTGTGTTTTAACATCTGAGAATGAGAAGTATTATCTGAAATATTTTCAGATAAACCTTAAATTGAATTAGCCTGATTGGTGTTTGCAAAAGTATGGATTTTGTGGAAAAGATATATTATATCAAATAATGGAAAAGAGACAGAGCACAAGAAGAGAGCAAAAAAAAAAAAAAGAAAAAAAAAAAAAAAAAAGGGGTTTTCTAATTTTTATTAGCTTTTGTTTGTTGGAACATTTTTAAATTACTTTTGAAAACATAATTCATTGAGAACTTTTAGTTTTTTTCTATGTCTTCAGTCTTTTATATAGTATTTTATATTTCTGCATAACTGTTGTTATGGTCAAGGAGGCAGTTCATTTTGTTTTTTTTAATGATACTTTTTAATAATTTTATCACAATCTTTTTTCATTTTTTGCATAAACTTTGTAAAGATATTTCTAATGAACTTATTTTTTGAACCAACCAAACATCACCAGCTATTTATCATTACTATAAGAAAATTACAGTAAAATTTTAAATGCTGAGTGGGCACTAAGTGGGTTTTTTATTGTGATTTTATTGCTGTGATTTTTTTGCTGAGACTGTTAAATAAGTGGTATGTAAGAAAGTCTAAAACAAGTAACTAATGGGAATGGTAACTAATGGACAGATTTTGAATCTCAATTTAATGCACTTGTAATGCACTTTGTAAAGTCAAAATAATTTATTTAAAGTTATTTTCAAAATAGGAAATCAAATTAACATAGAAAAAGAAAAAAACTAGAAAAAAAAAAGAATGACACAAGGATAACACAAGGTTGTATCATCATTTTAATCCTATTAGTTCAAATAGAAAAAGTTGAAAAAAAAGTCAGATATTACAAAAAAGGATACACATGCTGAAGTAGTGGATACACGTAATGATGTATTTGATATTATTACAAAAAACAAAAATAATATAAAGATTTCTTTAAACATTTAGAAAAATGGATTACAGTGTATGATTTATGATGAGTTTTGGGGGAGTACAAATGAAAAAAGGGAGAGAAGTTACCCAACCTCTTTCTCCTTTTTATTTCTATGACTAGATATTTCCTAAACTAGTTATTGCATGAAATGATTTTTGGTTTAATTAAAAAGTTTTTTAAAAATTCTTTGTTACAAAATTTAAATTTTTCAAAATTATTTTTGAGTACTTACAAGACCAAATATTTGTATATTTAAATTCTTCAATCTAAAATCTATTTAAATTCCAAATTTTAGGAAAATCCTCTGAACTATTATCAAGATATTATGTCAAAATTGCTTTTTGTCTCAACAAACATGTAAAGTTTTAGATAGAATTATAGGAGTAATGATTTATTAAATATGGAGTGCAAATAATGTAAAAATAAAACAAA